GATTGTTGGATGGACAAATGGATGGATGGTTAAGTGGTCAGCAGGTAAACATTCCATATTGTCCTGTTATTTCCACTTCAAATCCTACCTTTTCTTCTTTCACTTACTGGTTACTTACTACTTATTGCAAACTCTTTTTCGTTATTATTTCTTTTTTCTTTTTTCTGAGATGGAGTTTCACATTTGTCACCCAGGCTGGAGTGCAATGGTGCAATCTTGACTCACTGCAGCCTCCTTCTCCCCGGTTCAAGTGATTCTCCTGCCTCTCAGCCTCCCAAGTAGCTAAGATTACAGGCGTGCACCACCACGCCCAACTAACTGTTTTTTCTTTTCTTTTCTTTTTTTTTGAGACAGATTCTTACTCTGTCACCAGGCTGGAGTGCAACGGGGCGATCTCAGCTCACTGCAACCTACACCTCCTGGGTTCAAGCAATTCTCCTACCTCAGACTCCCAAGTAGCTGGGATTACAGGTGCGCACCACCACATCCAGCCAATTTTTGTATTTTTAGTAGAGACGGGATTTCACCATGTTGCTCAGGCTGGTCTCGAACTCCTAACCTCAAGTGATTTACCCTCCTCGGCCTCCCAAAGTGCTGGTATTTACAGGCATGAGCCACTGCACCCAGCCTGCAAACTCTTTTTCTTGTCCTCATTCCTAACATCTTATTTGGTCTCTTAATTCAGACACTTGATGACCAGACTCTTTTAGACCAAAAACCATGCCTTATTATAATCCGTACCTCCGGCACCAGCACTTAGCCAAATGCCTAGTATATAGTAGAAATTAGATACGTGTTTGGTGACAGAATGATGTGTAAATAAAGAAGTGGATGAATATTAAAGGGCTGAATGAAGAATGGGATAAACCACTCTTCCTTCGTATCACTGAAAAAAGTTGAGGATAGGTTTTTGATGATAATTTTATTTTTCAATGATAACATGGTACTATATAGAAATCTACTATATTTAAAAAAATTAGCTTACTAGTCTACTTCACAAACAATATGGATAAAGTAAGCTTTTGTGGACCTGCTTGTTCCTGTGGTGATACCTTGACACCTTGAAAATTCTGAGTTGTGCTCTCAACTCCAAAACCTTGACTAGTGCATGGCTTGTAAATCGGCCTGTTGTGTTTATCAGTTGGAGAATATCCAAAACATAAAGTAGAAATTAACTTTTGCTACTACAAGTCTAACGTGACTTGTAATGTTTTATGGAGGTTTTAGATGCTGACGATCGTGGCTAATAAACAGAATGCAGATCTACACCTTCTCTAGGTATAAAACATGCTGTTTAGAGAAGTGTTGCTGTATGTCAAAAGGAGGAAAACTCTTCTGTGACTCCAAAGACAAAATCAGAATCCAAGGTAGCAGTCACCAGGGTCAAGATTTCAATTCAACTTAAAGAAAGCCAAGCCTTCCAACAATGGAAAGAGGCTCCTCCTGAAGTAGCCAGCTCAGCCACCACTGGCCATATTCAAGAAACAGAGATACTTGGTTTTTGTACAAAAGATTAAAACTGACCAAAAATTTACATGCTAAACCTGAAGAATTCTGGGCCACCCTGAGGCCTTCTCTGCCCATTGAATAGCCGCCCTAAAGGAGATTTTGACTGACGGTTTTCTTTACAGGGTGATTCAGGGGCTTACCTTGTCTACTCATCCATCCAACCATTTAACCATCCATCCAATTGTCCATCCAACAATCTACCCGTTGATTCATTCATTATCCTTATTAAAGAATTCCCTCTGAATCCCTCTTTCCCAGAAGCACCATCCTGATGGTTCCTATGACATCCTCTTTCCCTTGTGTCCTCCTTTTCTTGCTGCTGCTCAGACACTATTGTCCTCATTTAGCCCCCTCCTCTGCACACACAGTAGGATGTGCGTATTATACAAGGTCTAACCACTTATCCTGACTTCTTCCTTCTTTACGAAACAAATTCCTCAGAAATCCGGGGATATGTTTCTTCTATTGTCACTCACATTTATTATTTTATTTTTATAACACCCTGTGAAGAAGGTAGTATTAATATTAGTATTCCCATTTTGTAAACGAGGAAACTGAGACCCAGAGAAGTTCTCTTACCAGCCCATGCTCACATGACTAAAATGACCTGAACCTGCTCCCTCTGGTTCGAAGCCTGGTGCTCTTCCCACCACCACAAGTGAGACAACTAGGTCCTGAGGATTTAAATGGGAAATTTCTTTTTGAGCTAGAAGTCCCCTTCTACTTTATATATGACTCAAATTTTTAAATGTTATTTATGTATCAATTAAACTAATACGGGGCTCTGTAAATGTTCCTAAAACCAATTTCTTTTTATGGAGTACATTGCAGCAGTCATAAACTCAGAGTACTATTATTTAAGTTAGTTAAGTTATTTTAAGATTATACAAAGAGGGCAATTTTATCACATCATCATTGCTATTTTGTCATTTTAGCATAGACAGGTTAATTTAAGGAAAGAAACTAGTTTCAAAGGCAGTAAGCCACAATGGCATCGAAAAACCTTTGCCAGCTGGCTGTAATGCTCTGAAAATTAATGAAATCATCACCTCTTAAAATTTTCTCTAGAGTTACACTGTCAGGAACATATTCTTTCTAAATTTAGTTATTGGCAGTCACTTTTAAAAACTAACAAAATTTATTAATAATTTCCATACATATCAGGGTGTGTCTTTTTAGTCAGTAACATTTTAATTTGAATGTCTATTACTTTATAACATAAACGAATCAAGATGATTTGTACTACAAAACTGGAGAAGAAACCACAAAAAATGATCCCCAGATGCTTGTGGTAGGTAGTTCAGGCTTGGCTGAAGGAAAATCAGGGTGTTATTTCAGACCTATATTCATATATTGCAAGTCTTTTGAGTATCCAAGTAGGATGATAATAAATGTCACAAAAATCCAGCAGGAGACTGCATAGATCATCAGTCCTCAGCAGAATCTTGCTGAAGGCCAACTTTTGGTGAATAAAATAGTTATGATCGCCATAAGTTTGGGGGGCATAAAATGTTTTACATTTACATAAATTTACATAAACTACCTAAATGATTTCAGCTACCAGGAGAAAAATATATGAGTGTTTTCTTCCATTATTTAGATCTCATATACCTTCTAGAGAAGTGTTTAAGAGAACTTGCTTGCAAATTTCTCTGAAGAATTCTATTGCCAAGTTTGATAGTAAAAACTTGATTAAATAAAATAGCTGTGCAAAGGAAATCTGATTAAATTTAATTCAAGTGAATCTATTTTTTAAAATCTTTATTGTTTAAAATGTGTCCAAAATAGGTTCTTTTTTCTCCTCCTTTAATTAGTTCAATATATAGTGTTGAATACTATTAAGGAGTACAGGGTCATTTCAGAAACATTATTAAGAGAGAAAGCTTAGGTGGGCTCTGATTCTAGGTTTGATGTCCACTAGTTTTGGAATATGAGGCAAATTCTTTAAATTCTTTCATCTTCTATTTTTGCAGCTATGGAACAAAAGATGGCAAGGGGGTTCTCCCACCTGAATACAGAAAAAATAACCTGAGGGCTTTGATAAAAATTAGAATCCTGAGAACTACCTTGAAAAATCTTGATTTGAGAGTGAGGAAAAAAACCAGAAATCCATATTTATGGTCAGCACTGTAGGTGATTTCAGTACAATTGGTCACAGCACTGAGTTAGGAATTACCAAAACAATCTTGAGCCAAAATAACAGAGCTGGAAGCATCACACTCCTTCATTTCAAAACATATCATAAAGTGATTGTAATGGTACTTGCATAAAAACAGATACATTGATCAGTGGAGCAAGATAGAAACCCCAGAAATAAACCTATGCATTTATGGTTAACTAATTTTTGACAAAGATGCCAAGAATACACAATTGGGAAAGGACAATCTCTTCAATACATGTTGTTGGGAAAACTGAATATCCATATGCAGAAGAACAAAATTAGACTCTTACCTTATACCATATACAAAAATCAACTCAAAATGAATTAAAGATTTACATATAAGGCATTGGAAACTGTAAAACTACTAAAAAAAAACAAAAAAGAAAATCTTCATAACATTGGTATAGCCAATCATTTTTTGGATATGACCCCTGAAGCACAGGCAATAAAATAAAAATAAACAAATTAGATGGCATCAAGCTAAGATGTTCTGCACAGCAAAAGAAACAGTTAACCAAGTGAAAAGACAACCCATAGAATAGGAGAAAATACTTGCACATTATACATCTGATAAGGGGTTAATATCCAAAATACATAAGAAACTCAAACAACTTAATAGCAAGAAAACAAATAACTTAAAAATGAGCAAGAGACCAATGGATTTGTCAAAAGAAGTTGTACTAGCCATTTGCTAATAGGTCCATGGAAAAATGCTCAGCATCACTAATTAGAAAAATGTAAATTAAAACCACAATTGAAATATTACCTCACACCTGATAGACTGGCTTTATTCAAAAAGATGAAAGATAACAAGTATTAAGAGGATGCAGAAAAATTGAACATATATATATATATATATTGTTGGTGAGAATAAAAATTAATACAGCCATTATAAGAGTATGGAGCTTCCCTGAGAAACAAAAAATAGAATTACCATTGAACCCAGTAATCTCACTTCTGGGTATACATCCAAAAGAACTGAAATCAATATGTCAAAGGGTGTCTGCATTGCCATGCTCATTGCAGCATTATTCACAATAGCCAAGATATGGAAACAACCTAAATGTCCATCGACAGATGAATGGAGAAAGGAAACGTGGTTCACATACATGATGGAATATTATTTAGTCTACAAAGGAGGGAGATCTTGTCATTTGTGACAACATGGATGAATTTGGAGGACATGGAGCTAAGTGAAATAAGTCAAGCACAGAAAGACAAATACTGCGTGGTCTCACCCATATATGAAATCTAATAAAGTGGAACTCTCCCAGACGTTAAAATTAAATTAAATTTTAAAAAAGATACAGTTGAACTCACAGAATTAGAGCAATTGTTAGCAGAGGTTAAGGTGGCAGGTAGGGAGGGATAGGAAAAAAGGGGATGGTGACTTGTTAATCAAGGGGTACAAAGTTGGCCGGGCGCAGTGGCTCACACCTGTAATCCCAGCACTTTGGGAGGCCCAGGCAGGCAGATCACGAGGTCAAGAGATCAAGACCATCCTGGCCAACATGGTGAAACCCTGTCTCTACTTAAAAAATACAAAAATTAGCTGGGCGTGGTGGTGCACGCCTGTAGTCCCAGCTATTCGGGAGGCTAAGGCAGGAGAATTGCTTGAATCCAGGTGGTGGAGATTGCACTGAACCAAGATGGGGCCACTGCACTCCAGCCTGGCGCCTGGCAACAGAGCGAGACTCTGCCTCAAAAAAAAAAAAAAAGTACAAAGTTTCAGATAAACAAGAGTAATACATTTTGAGAACTGTTTCCCAGCACAGTGACTATAGTCAACAATAATATGTATTTCAAAATAAGAGAGCAAATTTTAAGTGTCTGGTCATAAAGATAATAGGTAAGCAAGGTGACAAGCATGTTAACTAGTTTGATTTAATTACGCCATATTGAATACATATATCAAAACATCATTCTGCACCCCATAGATGTAGACGATTATGGTTTGTCAATAAAAAATAATATTAATAAGTTTTAATAAATAAATATGAAGCCAAAACAAAAGCACAGAAAGTTTAAATGTTTTAGCTCAAAAAGCTAATTAATTATGTAACAGCACTATTCAAATATATAGCCCAATGTTGTCCAAAATATTCCCAACAAAGAACAAATTTGGACTAATTTTCTCTGCTTTGGGGCTTTTAAAAGAACTGTCCACACTATATATGAAGCCTTTGAAAATCTGTCTGCAATGGTCATATTCTAGAGCCGGTAGAAAAATGGGTTTCCTGATAAGGCATCAGTTTTGCAATGAACACAATGAAATATGTCACTTTCAAGTTGAGTCCATTTTTGAAATTCCAGGCAAAGCCATCATAGCCCCTGCCATGGATGCTGGATAATTGGGATTCGTTGCACAACCTACATTCTCCAAAAGATGATTGACATTCCTGCAGTTTGTATTGTGTGAAAGTGGCCACGTTGTCAAAACCTGGGCAAACACAATCTTCTCAAAAGGTTAATTGAAATTCAGTTGAACACAAAGAATGGAGAGTTTTTCCCACATACTTTTGATACACAGTTTAAAAGTTATGATTAGAATAAAGTATTTTATCTAGATTAGCACTGAGCACTATGTAGCCACCAGCTCTGTGTGGCTACAGAGCATTCGAAATGTGGCTAATCCAAAATGAGGTATGCTATAAGTATAAAATATGCACCAGACCTTTTAAGACTGTTTTATTAAGAAAATGAATGAAAAATAACTCATTAATTTTTAATTGATTACCTATTGAAGCAATAATATTTTGGACATATCAAATTAAAATATAATAGTAAAATTATTTTTTGTTTTTACTTTTCAATGTGACTACTAGGAAATATACATGTATAGCTCACATATTTCTACTGGGCAGCTTTGTTGTCAAAAAAGATTAAAGGGCGTATCTTCTCAAACAGCTTAATTAATGCTATTTGAAGCTCATTAGAGTATGTATTTCTATCCACAGAATGTGAAATCAAGATAATAATGTCGTTTCATACAAGTTTATTATATATTATGCCCTACTGATGCCTCTAAAATATGAACTAAAAATTTCAGAATAATTTTGATTTATGTCTAAAAGGACCTTGTCAAAACACAGTGCCTTACAGAGTCAGAATTTCTAGACATCCTAAAAAATTATCTAATCTCATCTCATCCTTTTAGATGAAGAAACTAATAAGTTAACCGATCACCTTTATATTACTTATGAGCAAAGCAAAAACTGAAACTCAGATCTCTGAATCCCAAACCACAAGATTTCTATTGTACCAGTACTATTTCAATCTGACAGTGTTTTAAAAGTAGAATAAAACTATTCCAAGCTTTTTTACCCATAATAAGTAGTCTTATTTTTTCAAAAGAACTTCAATTCAAAAGCTATGTTTCTAAAAATTGCCATAATTCAGGTCAAACTTATTAACCCAAAGATATTTGATTAAAGTAATTGAATTATACATTTCTGTTGGTTTCCTTCCCCAACACATAGAGTTTTATCTAAGAAGGCTTTATGACACAAAGCAATCAAAGCACAAAACTGACAAAATCACCAAGAAGGAATGACATTTCTAAACAGAAGAAGGGTGGCAAGGAAGAAACCAGCTTGATTCAACCAAGTGCCTTAAAGCCATGGAGCAAAGTTGGATTCCCTGGAAAACTAGCCCAGCAGCACGCTGCCTGCATAACAAAAGGCAACAATACTCCAGAAGGGATAAAATCAGAAAAACAGAAAATAGGAGGACACTAACCAACTTGCAGGAGATATTTTGAAAACCTTGTTAATTTCCTGTATTTGACACAAAAGAAGGTTAACAGAGAACTGTGATTCTTTTTTAGATAGGAAGAGAAAACTGCCCCATAGCTGAGCTTTCCTCTGCGAGAGAGGACCCCTTCAGTTTTGCATCCAATTGCTTCACCAGTCACTCTGACACTCCCCCTGTAAAGTGAGAAATTCAGTCAAGCTTCTACCGTTTTTTCATTGTTAATAAAATAATCAGAATTGATATTCCATTTTGGGGAGGCTGGGAGGGAGACCTAAATTAATCTTTTCGAGGTCATTTAAAAAACAGTCTGAAGATAAAAGGAAAATAGTCATTCTAAATATTGCTTTTACAGTTGATCAATTATTTTTGGCAAAATAATTCCATGATATATATTGTGATATATATTGTATAAAGTGACTAGCACAGTACCTGCAAACACTACTCAGTAAATGTTAATTTTATCTGAATCACTCAAAGAGAAGCCAGTGTAATAGAAGGTTGGATATAATTAAGCACTGGGGAGAAAAAAAGCATCTGTATTCTATTTCTTCTTAACATTCACTATTTTATTTTAACATTCTAATTGCAATGAATTTTCATTGTATGTTACCTGAAAAATATAAATAAGGAATATGGCTGGGTACAGTAGCTCATGGCTGTAATCCCAACACTTTGCAAGGCTGAGGCAGGCGGATCCCCTGAGGTCAGGAGTTTGGGACCAGCCTGGCCAACATGATAAAGCCAATTTCTACTGAAAATACAATAATTAGCTGGGTGTGGTGGTGCATGCCTGTGGTCCCAGCCACTCAGGGGGCTGAAGCAGGAAAATTGCTTGAACCTTGGAGGCAGAGGTTACAGTGAGCCAAGATTGCACCACTGCACTGCAGCCTGGACAATAGAGCAAGACTCTATCTCTAATAAATAAATATAAATATAAATAAAATATAAGGAATATAAAGTATAAAATCCTTTTTTTCTTTCATTTCACTCAATATTCCAGTTTCTATTCCCTTAGCATCTGATTTGATTAAACACTATTTTTTGCTACTCTAGTCTTTCTCAAACTCTATTCTCTTCACTTGGAAACCACTTTACTGAATTTGAGAATACATGATACTCAGGACAAAATGAAATAGCATTAACATCAGTCTCTGGCTACCAAGGGAAGGCCAAAGAGTGTCACCATGGGGTTGTTAGCACTTTAACTCTAGAACTCAGTGTGTCACTTCATCTAGAAGGGATCAGGCTCTGGGGACCTGGCTCCTATTAATCAAATCATTAAGAATCTGATCTAGAAACCAGCACGTCAATTATCAATATACTAAGAAGAAAAGATCTACTAATGCTATGGGATCTTTGGGTGTTGCTTTTCTTGCCAGAAACCTTTGTGCCTGGTTGCACCTTTGCCTGAGTTCTTGTCCCGCATCCAGGAAGAATGAGGCAGACAAGTGGAAGGTGAGCAAACTGAAGAGGAGCTTTACTGAGTGTTAGAACAGCTCAGAGGAGACCCATAGTGGGTAGCTCCTCTCTACAGGCAAGCCATCCCATCAGTGTTCAGTTCTCAGCAGGGAGGAGGCCTGGAGTGAGTGTCCCCTCTCTGCAGCTGGTCATCCTGTCAAGTGTTCAGCTCTCAGCAAAGATAAGGCCTGGAATGGGTGGCTCCTCTCTGCTAATTGCTTGTCCTGACAAATGTTCAGCTCTCAGCAGAAAGGGAAGCTCCACTCTGCTACTGGTCATGAAATCGTTCACATCTCTCAGCAGAGAGGAGGCCCTGGAGCAGGTAGCTTCTGTAGCTGGTGGTCCAGATATCTATCTGCTCTGCTCTGGCTGAGTCCAGAGATTTTATGATCTTGTGGGGGACACAGGAAACTGTGTGCTGACTGGTCCATCAGCAGCCATGTGTGGGCCCAGGAAAAAGTACCATCAGTTCCCCCTTCAGTCTACAGGACTGGCAGCCAGATCCCCCAGGCTTCAAGCTTTCCCCAGCTTGAGGGTGGGGCTTCACTGTGGACCCACCCCCTTCACCCCAGGATCCTATCTGCCTTTTCCACTGTTCACGGCACCCAGGCTATTCATACCAAGGGGCTGCAGGCCAGCACTGAGCTGCCTTCAGCTCTCCTTTGACATCCCCCCTGTGCTTGTCGGCGCCCGATGTCTTGAGGGGCCAAGGTGGCAGGGGGGCTGACATGTCAGTGCTTCCCCGAGCATGCCCCCACCCATCAGGACCCCAACCTTGCTCCATGATCTCAGTGGGCACCAGGAATGGGGAGAGGCCAGATAACGGGAGCAGGCAATTCAGAACCTGTCAGCGGTGGGTGTTAGGGAGGCCTTCCCAGGCGCTCAAGAGCACAGAGATGCCTGGGTCCATAGCTGGGCTTGGGTAGCTGTAGCTGCCCATGAGGATCTCCTGCCCTGCCAATTTGGAAGCGGCAGGGCTCCCACTTGTCCCTTGGAGCAGGAGCCCTGGGCCCCGGGAGCGGAACTCCTGCCTCCTCTATGGAGTGGGAGGCCTGGCTGTGCCTCCCCACTGCAGCCGACATGCTGGCAGCAGCCACTCTACATGGGCCACTGCTGCCGTCACTAAGAAGATAGGAAAGTTCACATCAGTTGGTCAGACATTACTTTCCTGTAAGATAATACACATGGGACACTAAATTATAATTAGTAACTTGCTTGAGGTAGATGGCCTTGATGTGTGTCCTGGAGCTATAAAGGCCAAATACATTTACCCACTTTGTAGAATTTGCCTGCCGTAAGGTCTGGGGAATTTGCAGAACTAACAAGAACTCTGAGGAGTGCTGAAGATATTCTGACAAATATTAGTTCTTGATACTTCTTTTTAGTTATTGTAGTCTAACCATCTCTCTTCTTTTAATATGACCTTTCTACAAAAGTCTATCATAAGATTAATCAAATTTAGCTTACTCTACCACAAGCATATTCCCATTCTACTTTTCTAAGATATCCCCTTGTTTGAGTTTTAGGTGTTATCAAGATGTTCCAGTCTTACATTTACAAATATCTCCTACTTTATCCATCGTGAATGGTAATCCAACCTGTCATGTGGAGATTTTATTAGATAAACTCCCTAAGCTAAGGGTGATGTCATTTCCAAGTTCTTGGTGAATACCTCACTCTTCCACCATTTAACTGTACAAGGCCCCTTATACACTTTCCTTAGTAATGGAAGTATTGAGCCTCATTCTAAATAATTTAGGACATGTCTAAACACATTTTTCATGAGTAATTTTGACCCATATATCTCAGTCACTTCAGAGAACGCAATATCATCATCTAAAATTTCCAGATCTAGACAACAGAATAAGTTCCTTTGAAGGGCAAAAGGTTTTCTATTTCAATTCCTTCCCAGACTTCTGAGGAAAATAGGTTTCTTACAGTATTTTCCTAAGCCAAGTAAAAATCAAGTGGTCCTTTGGCAAAGCTAGGGTTTATTAAGTAATGTTTCCATTTGAACTTTAAATATGAAAACCATCTTCATGTTACATTTGCCTACACTCTAAGGATGGATCTAGGCATTCACTTCAAATATTAGTGTAGACGTAGGATTTAGCATACTGCTTTATGCTGCGGTAAAATCCTAAGTGAGATACCTGTATAATTTCTATGAAGAACTCAAAGCAAATTTTTTCAAAAATGAATTCACTACTCAATATTTACAAATGTTTAATTCTTGCATTAACTACAGCTTCTAGGAAAAGTACAGACTATAATTTTAATGAGCATACCATTGGTTAGATTTCTTGAGATTTATATTACATTAAACCAGGTATTGTCTTTTTTCCCTCTGCAGTCCTTAAATTTTAATCACCCTTAATGCAGTTGTATTACAATTTTAATTTTAGAAAATGTACAGAATATCTAAGGAAAGGCAAATGAAGATAAAAATCACCCATTCCTCCCTACTAATGCCCTAAATTTTGGAATATATGTTCATTTTTCTCATTAAGGCTAAATTTTTAAGAAAGCTACCAGAACTGGACCTGACCACCTTCCATCTTCCATCAAGGTATAAACCAGAAACATGGTGATGTGCAAGGGGCAGATGTGGCAGAGGTGAGGCTGTGGAAATCAGTAATATGTCAGTACATGAGCTGTTCACCTCTTTGAACTTTCTAGAAGTCCAACGTAGTTGCAGTTGTTTAAAATATGGGAGAAATTTTAAGGTACATAAAGTCTGCTCAGTAAATTGTGAAATGTTATTGCTGTTAATCTTGAGAAATTATATAAAACCTCCAATTTTTGTTGACATAGAAAAAGAAACAAGAAGAGCTACTGACTCAAAGCATCTGGAGATGATATAATTATTCTGTTCCCTTGCCACCATCACATATATGATAATAGACATGCGTCTATATGATGGTGATAGGATCTGAGAAATGCATTATTAGGTGATTTTGTGGTTGTGCAAACATCATAGAGTGATTGTACTTAAACACACCTTGGTGGTGTAGTCTGTTACACACTAGGCTACACATTAGTATAACATGTTACTGTACTGAATGCTGTAGGCAATGGTAACACAATGGCAACTATATGCATATACAAACATATCTAACCACAGAAATGTTACAGTAAAAATATTGTATTAAGTTGGTACAAACCTAATTGTGGTTTTCACTATTAAAAAATAATTGCAAAAACCACAATTACATTTGCACCAAACTAATACTGTAAATTTGTGGGCCCATCATTGCATATGTGCTCCATTGTTGACTGAAACGTCATTATGCAGAACATGACTGTATTTGTCTTCTTATTTTCCCATCTTTACACACCCTGGATTAAAAATATCAGGCTTTTCATTTATTATTTTATTATTTTTTTGTTATACTTAAGTTCTGGGATACATGTGCAGAACGTGCAGGTTTGTTACATAGGTATATATGTGCCGTAGTGGTTTGCTGCATCCATCAACCTGTCATCTACATTAGGTATTTCTCATAACGCTCTCCATGCCCTAGCCCCCTGCCATCCAGTGGGCCCCAGTGTGTGATGTTCCCCACCCTGTATCCATGTGTTCTCATTGTTCAACTCACACTTATGAGTGCAAACATGCAGTGTTTAGTTTTCTATTCCTGCATTAGTTTGCTGTGAATGATGGTTTCCAGCTTCATCCATGTCCCTGCAAAGGATATGAACTCATCCTTTTTTATGGCTGCATAGTGTTCCATGGTGTCTATGTGCCACATTTTCTTTATCCAGTTTATCATTGATGGGCATTTGAGTTGTTTCTAAGTCTTCACTATTGTGAGCCATGGTGCAATTAACATATGTGTTCATGTGTCTTTATAGTAGAATAATTTATAATCCTTAGGGTATATAACCAGTAATGGGCTTGCTGTGTCAAATGATATTTCTGGTTCTAGATCCTTGAGGAATCATCACACTGTCTTTCACAATTGTTCAACTTACTTATACTCCCACCAACAGTGTAAAAGCATTCCTATTTCTCCATATCCTCTCCAGCATCTGTTGTTTTCAGACTTTTTAATGATTGCCATTCTAGCAGATGTGAGATGGTATCTCATTGTGGTTTTGATTTGCATTTCTCTAATGACCAGTGATGATTAGTATTTTTTCATGTTTGTTGACCTCAGAAATGTCTTCTTTTGAGAGGTTTCTGTTCACAGCAATTGCCCACTTTTTGATGAGGTTGTTTGTTTTTTCTTATAAATTTATTTAAGTTCTTTGTAGATTCTGAAAATTAGCATTTTGTCAGAAGGATAGATTGCAGAAATTTTCTCCCATTCTGTAGGTTGCCTGTTCATCTGATGATTCTTGAGTTTAATCATATCCCATTTGTCAATTTTGGCTTTTGTTGCCATCGCTTTCCGTGTTTTAGTCATGGAGTCTTTGCCCATGCCTTTGTTGAATGGTATTGCCTAGGTTTTCTTCTAGGGTTTTGTCTTTCATGGTTTTAGGTCTTACATTTAAGTCTTTAATCCATCTTGAGTTAATTTTTGCATAAGGTGTAAGGAAGGGGTCCATTTTCTGTTTTCTACACATGGCTAGCCAGTTTTCTCAGCCCCATTAAATAGAGAATCATTTATCCATTGCTTGTTTTTGTCAAGTTTGTCAAAAATCAGATGGTTGAAGATGTGTAGTGTTATTTCTGAGGCCTCTGTTCTGTTTCATTGGTCTATATATCTGTTTTGCTATCAGTACCATGCTGTTCTGGTTACTGTAGCCTTGTAGTATAGTTTGAAGTCAGGAAGCATGATGCCTCCAACTTTGTTCTTTTTGCTTAGGATTGTCTTGGCTATATGGGCTCTGTTTTGGTTACATATGAAATTTAAAGTAGTTTTTTCTAATTCTGTGAAGAAAGTCAGTGGTAACTTGATGAAGATAGCATTGAATCTATAAATTACATTAGGCAGTATGGCCATTTTCACGAAATTGCTTCTTCCTATCCATGAGCATGAAATGTTTTTCCATTTGTTTGTGTCTTCTCTTATTTCCTTGAGCAGTGGTTTGTAGTTCTCCTTGAAGAGGTCCTTTACATTCCTTGTAAGTTGTATTCCTAGGTATTTTATTCTCTTTGTAGCAATTGTGGATGGGAGTTCACTC